ATCGTTAAGAGGCTTACGTTTGTTTCCTTCCTGCCAACCAGATCTGTGCTTTATTCTTCGTGGTGTCATCCTACGGAGAATTTTCGATGTTGGTTAATTGCATATGTGACATATTGGGCGTAAGCGACATGTATTACAATCATGAAATGTTGTAGGTAAAATAACTTGTTTTCGTTCATTTAAAAAGGTAGCAGTGTACTGTAAATATGACCTCATGATCATAAATGCAGACAAACAAAGCAGAGAAATAGAGAGGACGCTATAGGCTAATAAATTCCCATGTGAATGTAGAGCAAAAAAATAAGTGGCTCAAATTCGAAAGCCGCGCTGGCATTCGAATTCGGTGCAATCAAGCTATGAGCGGCAAATTTTATCAAAGATAAAGACCTTAAATAATACTGCGGTCGCATAAACGAGTTTTAAATGTTCCATGAATTTGGGGTTTCGCACCCAGAAATGCACACTTTTCTGCTCATTTTTAATTCGCGGCCTTCATTTTAGGCGCAAGAATGGCCTGGTTATACACCTGACCTCATTCCAAGCCTCACGGACAAAAATGTCTGCAACCGATCTTGAGGTACAATTTACACGCTTGCCTTGCTTTGTTTTCCTAATTTTGCGAGCACAACCTTCAGCCATTTTGCACCAAAATGTTCGTTTGAGTCTTTTTTTGCCTTAACACGTGTTTCTCCAGAATTTAACCGCTATTGGAGCGTCACTTGCTCAGAGGTTCTATCGTGCTCGAATCCTCCCTCGCCTTCATCTACTCGGTCGCAGTCCGGAGGATTGGTGGGCTTGCAGAGGTCTTCACGAAGATGACTTTCCAGGTAAGGAGACGAAAAACTATCCTCTCAATTTATGAAAAAAAAGTATCCCACTGGAAGTACTTTCGGAAATCCTGATGGAGCTCTTCTACACAAAATAAATACTTTAATAAAATGTACAAACTTAAAACACGCAGTATTTACTCTGTTATATGGGTGTTCACCATCTAATCGCTGCCCGATGAATTGAGGACTTGGGTTTAAGGGTCATCTGTTTCTGGCTATCTTCCAGTTGGCCAATCCACCTCTTCCTATAATGAACTTTTCTTAACTGACTAATTCCGCTCTGTAGGGTTGTGCATGCAACTTCTCAAGGAGACATTCGGCGACCAGCTCCTCGTCAGTCTTCAAGAAACAGACACAGTTTTTCCCCTTCACGTAAGTTGAAAAGAGTAAAAATGGTCCACTTTTTGTGATTTGTAATTACAAGACAAAATCCTTGTTTTGCAGGTACGCAATCCAGCTCTCACAAGTCGCTTCCTCGAACTCCTTTCGCTTCGAGCTCAAGATAATAATAGGCTGAATGGATCAGAAATGTTTCCTACTGCGGCTGAACGTGGGTCAAGACAGTCCGAATTCGGTGACGAGAATGCCAGTCAGATTCCTCACACCTCAACCCCAAAAACAAATTCGGGAGAATCGGCTCAGGAGGACACTGCGCCATCCCAGGCGGGTACTTTGAGCCATCAGACCTCCCTAAGTCCCGACTGCGACGAGTTAGCTGAAGAAAAGGATGATAGCGGTGGTGACTGGCATGATCGTCCTTTAACACGGCGTGAGACTGTCATCACGGTGAGACCTAGAACAACGATAGAGAGCGGTTCCGAGAGGCATGTCAACGGTTCCTCGACGCCTTTACTCAGGCAAGGGCATTCAGTAGAGCACCTTGAGACGCCCGTATATATCCATATAGACCTTCCTCTTTTTCCCCTCTCGCTCTTTGTCCCACCTGAAATACGTCGAACATCTCGAAAAGAGTGAGTTCATAGTAACTTTGTGTGTCTTTGTTAACATTATTAAGTTATTAAGTTGGTTTGGCAGATTTGCTTAATTTGAGTTGACCCAAGT